CTAACACAACTTGGTGCAATATAACCCTGTAAAGTACAACACCCCTAACACTGTGACATTATGTACTTGTTATATGCACAATAGTCAAGTGGTAAATGTCTATATCATTTGATTGTCTTGTAGTTTACCAAATGAATGCAATAACATAGTTCCTATTCGTATTATAAATGTTACATATTGTACGACTACCAAGGGGGTATCCATATTATAGACCAATGCAAAAGGCCATTATTAAGGACATCGCTGTGCTTCCGTGACATTCATGTGTTTATTATTTATTCTGACACTCAAAATACAACAAACTTGGTACAAACTGCAGCTATTTTTATAAAGCTTTATGTTTGCACTTCATTTAATTACATTGAATTATCATTTTTGCTGTGTTGCAACTAGAACAGTGTATTAAGAGTCATCCACATATTTTAAAATGGGACCTCTAATTGTGAGCTAACAGTATACATCAGAATTAAACAAATCTCCTGCTGAAAGCCTTCACAGACAAAGTTAAAAATGTACGCATACTCCCTTGACTTACCACATCATGTCCAACTTCATAGTGAGTTCCTTTCGTAATTATGAGTGGTATACTTAGAGACCATGCTTGCCAGACACACAGAGTAAGTATAATCAGGATGTTCATTATACTTACAATCATACTATCACCTACAGAGTAACATGATTTGTACCGGTAGTTAGGAAGTTAAACTATGCAGAGCTTCTGCGTGATTGGTATAAAGAAATCAGAATAGACAGCATTTATTAGAGAAGTGACTACACCATAACATTGTATATTTTAATTGTATTGTATATTTTATTTCATCATAAAGTAAATACAATAGGGTACTAGTACTTGCTAAATACATAATGCTTTGTCATTATGGTGTGGAACATGATAAATAGCTCAAAAAGAGCTAATGAAACATCATGTCCCTGCCCTAATTATGAACTAGTCAAATTATCAGTAAAGTAAAGTGGTTCAGTTCAGTAATGTTTTATGAACAACATTTTGGAAAGAGTTCCTTAAAGCGAGTGAGTCGTCACCTGCGCATGCGCCAAATGGCCATAGCGTGTCATTGTTTACAAACAAGCGTCTACCCATGAGCCTTTGCATTTTTAGCTTGTGTTGTTATCGTCGCTTGGGACTCAATTCTCCCGCGTGCGCAGATGACGATCCTCCCGCTTTAAGATTCCCTCTCACCCGCTCCAAATAACTGTAAGTGACCTGAAGAGGGATATATACACTTGAATGGGGGAGAAGTACTGGAGAGACTTGGTAAGGGGGTTATACACTGCCCCTCACAGTTGGCATGCTTGAGAGTACGCCCCCTATTCTATGAACGGAGCTTCTAAAATGCAGCAACACCCAACACCACCGATAACAGTCAATTACATGGAAATTATTTTAACAAATAAAAATATACCTGGACCAGAAAACGCCCATCTTATCACGAGTTGTATCCGGGATGTAACGAGCTTGTGAGTAGTCACGAGATTTTTAAAAGCGCAACCATAACCTTTAACCTTATCTAGCTCCCACAACGGTAGAAATATTTTAACCAGCCACTCTACGTGCATTGGCACTCGACCTACCACCACCGTGGAGGTAAAAATCCATGCCACCACAAACGAGATATACGTTTTACTCGTACAATGGTACATACAAAAGAGCTAATAAATAATATAAAATCAAATTAAATTTAAAAAAAGCATTTATAAGAAATTGCATAGGAAAAAATACTACTTGATATTCGTCTCTATAATCACTCACTTAGATTTGAAATGAGGCGTCATACTCATAGGCGGATTTAGAGAGGGCCGAGCCCCCCCCCCCCCCCCATTTTTAACAACCAACAGGGCTTCGCGAACCAGTTGAGCAAGGCTAACCGAGTCGTGACCTCGATGTGGTTTGTAACCAGTCTTATGATTGGTTGTTGACAAATGCTGAACAGGCCACGCCTCCAACTGTGCTGTGCGTTCGGGCAAACCGTTAATTATTCGTAAATGGAGTCAATTTGTGTAGTTTTCTTGATTTATTCTGCAGATATTGGTAAAATATAGGTAAGGCTTTGGCGAAATTTGAAAGAGCAACTAATATTCTTCAACCTGGTATTTTTTATAGATTTAATTTTTCATTCTGTTCGTCTGTTTTTTCCAGTTTAAAAAATATGAGCTGGCTGCAGCCTTCATCCCTTGTCTATTTCTTACACTAGATACCAGCCGATACCCCCCCCCCCCCGCACGCGCTCATAGGGAGTGCGTATAGTTGATCATAGTTCCTGGGCTCCCTGTGGTCTTATCTGAAACAAATCAGATAGAAAATAAACAACATTTCGTGATGTATTGCCCTGTTATGTGCAACATTCTATTCAAAGAAGCCATATAGACCAATTCAACTCTCTCAATACCAATACCAGCTAACTATCGATGATCTCACCAATTTTTATATCTTCTTGTCTTTTATTTTGCATTTGTTGTTTTGTTATTTGTTGTTTTGCTTTTTTAGCTTATCTATTCTTTTTTAAGTGAATAAACAAATAAATATTAATTGCGCCATGAAATCATGGGATCCCACTGTTTGTGTTGTTTTTACACAATTCGTGTCTTTTTCTTATCATTTTTCTTTCTTTTAGTCAAGTCCATGGAAAGGTATAGCAAAAGACGATATGGAACCATATGCTTTTATGGCGGTATGCCTTTTTTCTTTTGCCGTCAAACCAAAGAGGAAATTTTCGTCTGCCCGCAGTCGTTGATTACAAAAAAGTCTGTACACTCATCAACATCATCACATCCAAACAAAAGTGACCACGGTACACGATTAAAATAGGAGCTTGAAATCGACTTTTCGGAATTTGTATTTAACCCTGTCCGACTTAAGAGGGCGCTTCTTGTAAAGGGCGCTTATATACTTGTAGTTCACATACAATTGCCTTGTACATCGAATTATCAATTGGTTCTACCATAAGGGTTTTGGATTTACACATCTCATGGTCAAAATGACACGTAACAGAAAATCAAATCGATTTGGTGATTATTGCAAGTGAGTTCTTTAACGCACTGAGAAAAAACATGTTTAAAAATAAAACTGTTCAGAAATGACTCATATCAAATTGTAGTTCGTGAGGTTGGTTCAGTTACACATTCTGGCAACTAGCACCAATAATAGGACAAGAGCAGTATCATTTGGTCCCTTACAATTGAAAACTAAATCTTAAAGGGACTTACCAAATTAATTGATATCTCCATTAGGTTATGATATGAACGTTAGCGTTGTGTTCGGGGATCAGGAAACTTCGTCTCGCTTGGCTGATGTCACTTACGAGGTGCACTTACACGTAGAGGTACCAGATTCGAACCAAATGAATACACATAAGTTCATTACAGAGGTAACCCCTCGCTGCACCGTTCTCTTGTTCTCCCCTCTTACATAAGTTTACAAACTCAATATTAAAAGTAAAATTTCTAAGGCGTGGCAGAGTAACCATGCGAACAGTCAATCGCTGCAGTCGTTGGTACGATCACGATTACCAGGGATGTGTCTCACAGAGTCTTACAGAGTTGCCACTACTGAATACAATAGGTAAACAATCTATTTATAACATTCCTGTAATATATGTTTATATATCCACCCTAAACATGCAAGTTGTCGATTCTAAACAATAGTCTAACAGCGTGGGATTGGAATGTGCGAACGTGAAGTCGCTATCATAACATTATCGCCGGGATAATATATACTTGACAAGAATATTTTCTGTTTGTTGAGTTGGATTCCCACCCACTCTATCTCTTCGATATATCAAATAGTTGCTCACATCAAATAATTCATTATCATAAATTTCTTTGTTTAGCCATGATGTATATCAAAAGAATGACATCAAAATAATTGTCCGAGAAAGCAACATATAGATCTTAAAGTTGGTTGTCAATCCTTGAGCCTTTTGATAAAAAAATATTTTCCCTTGTATTGTCACGGGATGGGTTGGAATACTCTTTAATAACTCCCGTGTTTGGGTGAACGTCACCATCGTCACATATAATAACACATTATTGTGTCTTAGTTGCGATAGAAGCTAACAGAAACACTTACTTACAGAAAATATTACATGCTTATTGATTTGGACCCATACCACTAAGTTGTGAGTTTTTCATTATATCTTTTTTGAATAAAACAAACTAAGTATCTGGAAATGCAAAAATGGTCATTTAGAATTATATTCATTTGATTCCGTGTAAAAGCATTATTTCGTGAAACATGAATGTTAACCGTATGAATTAACTAACAATTCGTGACAAACGTGTACTCATCTCATAACTAAATATGATAATTCATATACGGGTACCGAACTAGGTACTAGTAGTATATTAGTATCTCTCAATAGCGCCGCCAACGTCCAGTTTGACAAATTATTCAAAACAGGCGAACTCTCACCCCAAAACATTCGTAACTTGTACAATAGCTAAATCAAATTATTTGTTGGGCCGAGTGTCTACTAATATGTACAAACTGACAACAGTTTCCATAGGAAATAATGCAATCATAAAATGTTATACGGGTACAACTGTGATACATCAAGAATCTCTTTGGTTGGATACTGTTTCCATGCAAACGACTTTAACTAGCCTTTCGTGACTTTTTTAGATTCAAGACTAGAAGCCATTATCTACAAACATGCAAAAAATGCTACTTCTTCTGTACTCCGCCCGCAAAGCATATTGGAACTGGTTCGGGGTATAATTTGTCTTGATGCTATATGACGTCACGTAAAGGTACCATCACCAGTCACGAGGTAGAGACGCACGTGGTAGATGAGATAGTCCAGTACTTCCATCTGATCTGGTTTGAGATAGTGGAAACTGATGACGTAATCGGAACAGCATTCTTCCCCCTGGAATGTAAAATATTTTTGGTTACTTCGCATCGATATGTTCATGTTAGTAATGATATGCTGTTAAAACCAAAAGTTGTGGTATATATTGCAGAATTAAAGCGGAGGAGTCGTCGCCTGCGCATGCATCAGATGGCTATAGCGTGTCTTTGTTCACAAATAAGCATCGACCCACGAGCCTTTGCGCTTTAGCGTGTGTTGTTATCATTGCTTGGGACTCAATTTCCGCGCGTGCGCAGGTGACGACCATCCCGCTTTAATCTAACCCTCCACGGTTAATGAACTTGATGCTATGAGGGGAAAATGCCAAGTTTAAAATCAAAGTTGGGCTAACTCTACAACAAGCGGAATTATTCAAAGAGTTTAACAGCAGAATTTATAAAAATGTGATTGTGATTGAGAGCGTACATAAAAAACCCACAAAAACAGGTATTTCGAATGTACTCGTGGGTGCGTCAACTGGTTAATTATTCAATAAATCTATGCAAGGTTTTTTTTCTTAATCGATCTGCTAGATCAAAATATTCAAATTTCCAGTAAGCATTTGATCATGCTTAACGGTTTTCTGTATTACCTTGTCTGCATAAAGCAAACCTGTAATAAATGTACTGTACCTTATTATAGGGATGAACCACGGAACCATAATACCACGAGTCCACGTGACCTGATAGGTAAGTCTCGTGATAAATGGTATAAACCTCTGTCTTCCCAGAGGGTCTCTCGTGTCACCCATAACAACGCCAAGTTTTTCAAGACATTTCGCCATTTCTAAATCCTCCTTTCCAACGTTGATGGGGCTGCATTTACTGGGATTCGGAATTCCACATTCGACGAATCGTCGCAAAGCTGACTTACTAAGAACGTAACCAGCGCCACCACTGTTAAAAGTTTGGTTGACTCGGTGGTTCACCAGTTTGTGGCCGAAATAAAGTGGTTGCGACGTGTCGTACTGTTGAAGAAAATATCGTAGGTTTTCAATGATAATAAACGAGTCGTCGTCCGCTTTTAAAAACCAGTCGTAGTCATTGAAATAGTTCTTATATATGTAAGCGAAAGCAGCCTTGGTCTTTCCCCAAAGAAAAGACGGTCCTTCCGGAATGTCTAGTTTCACTATAGGAACGTCATTATCTTCGAAAGAACTGAAATAAACCATTTTATCACATCTTGAACCCCAAGTATTTATAACATGGGGCAGTCTTTTCACGGCATAGTTGGGGTTTGTGGCAAGCCAACAAAGAATTCTAACTTTCTCTGTCAGTTTGGGCAACGTAATCGGAGTTGTGTCCATAGTGGCAATATCCATCTTGTCATCTCTACTGGTGGGGACGATATTGACAGGGGCAGCAAGAAGCTCGATACAGTGAGGAGAAACTGTCACAGAAGGAAATTCTTCGATTTTAGACGCTGGAGCGAGACCTTCGGAGAAATTACCTAGAACAGAGAAATAAACACTAAGAATATATGCGTCGGTATCATATCGTGCAATATACACGTAGAACACTATGTAAATCGACCAGATATATATATATATCAAGACAGATATATGAAATATAAATAACAACTGGTATCATCATATAAATTTGTGTCTATTAAAATCCATAACAACATGACGGCATTAACGTTATACCAGTGTATACAATCATTTCATGTAATTAGATTGTTACACTGATATACAGATATATTTGAGCTCTCTACATTTCGCCAAAGTTCTGTTGAAGTTCAAAGTTCCAAAGTAAACCTATCATCGTGTCCTCATACAGCATAGGACTTACGTGCAAAAATAAATAACCGAACAGTTTAAAGGGCGGGAGTCGTCGTACCGCGTCATGTTCGATATGGGACTCATAGCGACGTATATTGGTGACAGTATACAACGCATGTAAAATACATTGTTTATTTACATGAAATTCGAACACGCGCTGCGCGACGACCACCGCGCTTTAAAGTCTGCTACTCAACTACAAAATCTGAAATATAATTTATTCATATTGTTCAATGTAACTAGTGTGAAAGCTACAACCAAGTACAAGTATACATCTTATCACTCGTTGATTAGTGTTTTTTTGCGGACAGCAGGTTCAATGACATGCGCGGCCACAGTATTCAATGATTAACAGTGACGAAGATGTTATGGCGGCCAGGAATGGTGATATGAGCGCATGTACGTCGGTAGAGGTCACATGTTGAAAAAATACAGTAACAGACAGATAGGCCATGAAAAAAACGAATAAATACAATTCAGTTTTGCAGTTGTTTCACGATAGTAGATAATATGTAATATACTAATTAATTTCACAGATTAGGACCACGTATGTTGGAGTTATACTCACTTAATGGCAGACTGTGTATTTTGAGAGGTTTAGGAAATCGTATGCTGCTTTCCGGTAGTCCCTGTCGTACGACTGACGAGTTGGTAATCCCAGAGCCATCCATGAACACCTTGACACGTACCGAGTGTCTATACCCTCCATAAGCAAAAACTAGAAATACCATCACAGGCAAAAATACTATTAACAGAATGACGGCTTTTCTCGTCGATGTTCGACTATCGGAAGTCATCCTCCGCGCTTACCGTGCTGTTATGCAGCGCAGTAAGCTGGATATTTGCTGGTAGCAGGCACAGGTGTGGCCACAATATTCTCAAACAGTGTTGAGAATCACATTTGCTAAAATTCTACGTCGGGAAAAGAAAAAAAGCCTTGCTAGGTTAATACGACGTTGAACGTTTGTACACAACGAAGGGTCTAAAGTCCACGTGTGGTGTCGTGTCGAGTAAGTACCAATAACTATTTGTTGATAGAATCGCACCGTTTGGTGTGTGTAATAATTTAAGATATGTTGAATGCCCTCGAAATATGAAGTTATAAGTTCTGTTTGTTTTAAATTACTGAAACACGTAAAATTCCCTGGAATGAATCAAATTGGTTATAAACAAGAACAGTGAAAAACAAGGACGAGAAAACTAATACTAGTACACAACAACTTACATACAAATTACACTGGCTAATTAAAATGACTGACCTAGCCTAAGACGGCAAGAATAACAAATAACAATGTCTAAAATACAATCATAATAGGTAATCGTACCCACTGACGAAAGTAACAAAATAAAATATATTTCAAACTCAGAAAAAGTAACATGTAAAACACAAGACAGTATTCCGGAAGTTAGCGAAATGCACTCAAATTCCGAGTTGTTCGGGTTGTTGTTTCAATAACACTTTTTTTTTTAACGAATTTAGTCAGTGAAACGAGTAAACCAGTGCTATTGTTTGTCATTTAATAGAATTATCATTATATATTTTAAATGACTGTTTAAATAAGCAAAGATTGCACTATATTTCTTTGTTTCGTCAAATAATTCTCGTTGTTTCAAGTTTTTTTTACAAAGGGGACATGATATTATAAAATGCTCTTTATGTTCTACTTGTCTGAACGTGAAACACATATCTATTCTTCTTCAAGGATTTTTGGTTTTGTCTAACTCTCATATTCTATTTTTAAGTGATGATTACTCGTATATGTGTTGTATACACTACAGCATCCATACGATCGGACGTTTATTGCCGAACATTGCCGAGTAGTTCCGCAGCAGTTCCTGGAGACAAGTCACTGAATCACGTGCGACATTTTATGGTTGACGATTCGAAGAAGACCACAATCAAGACGAAACACATCGATTTGAGTTTTTCTGAAGACAAAATCCATTCACTTTCTTGCCTCAGAAATTTGTTATTTGTTGGAAGCCCTTGTCCCCAAATAATATGTTAATCATAATCGAACGGTAGAAATTGTTTTTATTGGTTTTCAGTAATAAAGCAAAACTTATTCACATCATGAACATTGACAAAAATACTATATTAAAAACAATACGTTTGATTGAGGTTGCATACAACATAAGAAAAGAAAAAAATGTCACTACAATAAATTAATATATATTTTGTGTTTACATAACTGCATACACATACATTTTTTGTTTGTTTTGTTTTTAACTTTAATTTTTTACTACTTGTACATGAGCTTTACTACGCCAAAGAAGAAATGTCAATTCTCTTTAGGGATGTAATGAAGCAATTCTATTATATTTTAATCAAATACAACTACGGGTCGATATGATTGTCACGTAGGCATAGAAGTGTAATTTTCATAACAGAAAAATATTAGCGAAGGAAATTTAACTGTTTTATTTAACTACCAATTGCATACCAACCCGGCGACCATATTTGTCACTAACGTGCATACATTGTAGCATCATTCTCTTGTATTTGCAGGTTCTTTTGGAACACATTATGCATTTATTGTAATTAATATGCAACAAGTATATTCAAAATAAACAACCAGAGATAAAAAAAAAGGCTCGCGTAAGAGAAACTTTCGTACAATGTTCTTTGCTAATTGGAGTTGCAAGTAATATTGCCCTCCTA